GGGGGGGGAACTCCTTTAAATACTTTACATTTTCTTTAATAACTTTTTTTCCTCCCATCCTTTCTAAATTTTTTTTCTCATTTCTCTTATCTCTCCATATTTTTTAAGAAGAGCAGGAACATTTTATGAGATGCGGTTTATTCCAAAGAACTGTTCTGCACGTGTGGCTCGGGACGACATCACCAACGTTCTTGGTAACGTACTGATTTGGTATGTGTTAGTTCTGGCATTTCAACAAACAGGAATAGCTTAGTAATGATTTTATAAATTAGAATAAATAATTCTTTGCATGATCTCTTCCCAAGTGCAGAAAGCTCTAAAGAATCTATTCAGTCAAATGGTGCCTGAGCCTTCCCTCCCATCCTGTGAGAAATAAACGGGGCTTATGGTGCAAGACCTCTTCTAATCTGCTTTGAAGTGACTTCAGATTAATGCCTCTACGGAACAGCAGACCTCTCCAAGAGAGGCAGGAGCTGTCTTTTCTGATCAGTACCACCTCATACTGTTTCTTGCTGGATTATGCCTAATCCAAATGCTTACTCACAGGCAAAACATGAGAAGAGTTTATCTAGGCATTACATCATCTTCATAAAATCAACAGGCAACTTCCCCGCAAAAATTATCTTTATTTTAAAAGAAATTGAAACCAGACAACAGAAAGCAACAAAGTTACATACAGTGCTGGACAAAATCTACCATATACATTTTCCAAGAACACTTGAATCAGATTCTGATATATGTTCTTCTAAAAGGTAAAATATCACATCATTTTTAACAAAAACCCTAAATGTCAACAATCTTAATCATTTTATATTTTGCACTGTTTGGATGGCAGTAGATTGGTAACTTATCTTCTTCAAATTACCTTTAACACTGAAAGGAAGAGAATGTGGAGAAAAAAATTCCAAGTCAGAAGGCCCTAAAGAACACAGTGTCTGCTCTAAAGGCCATATACAAAAGCTTGGAGGAGAGACTGTCTTTTAAGTAAAAATCCCTCAACAACTCTGTATTATTTCACATTTCAGAAAAAAACTAGCAAGAAAGGAAAAAAAAAGTAGCATATTAAAAGCTTGCCCTCCTTAAGTTATCTGGAAGTTCAAATTTAGACCATCCTTTAGAAGAGGAGATGAGTGTCTACGAATAGACACACCCCCTCTCATGACTCCAATCCCAAACTGTCTCCAATACAGCAACTGCTGAATTACAGTGCACAAACCTCCGAGTAAAAAGGTGGGGTTGGATCAGAAATTATTTTGAGACAGACAGTTTGTTTGAACATGAAAAGGAAAACTAATCACACATGGCAAACATTACAAAAATAGGTATCCCCTGTGATGTTTGGGATAAGCCATTTCTGAACCAGGAAACCAAGGGTGACATTGAATACTTTAAGCTACAGGCAGCACCTCTAAGGGGCTGAACATCATTCAGAATTAATTACCTCAGAACTGATGACACAACACTAGGGCGCTAAAGGGACCCTTTATTTCCATATAAAGCATAAGCCAACAAGAAATCAGAGTTCTATACAAAGAAGTGAATGTGCATAACTCACGATGTAGTGTAGGAGAGTTATATTGCCTTAAGAGTTCTGCTAAGTACACTTAATTTTCCAATTTTAAGGAACAGTCTATTCTAATATAGAAAGCTTCAGAAAAAACTTAGTAATCGCAGAATAACTTTAAAATACATCCAGTTCTACATCCTCCTGCATATATCTAATCACATCCAATAGATTAAAAAATTACACGTTTTGTAAACCAAGTAGAGCGTTAGAATAGAATTTTCACACCCGTGAGCTTATTACCAAATGTTCACCCATTTGTCAGTGGATAATATTAAGAAATTCATACTAACAGTTATGGCAACGAGATGACAATGCACAGAAGTGCTGCGTGTTCTGAAAGGTAGTCAGTTTTAATTACCATGGATTGCTACCATCTATCATACCTCATTCTATGCAAGATACCACGCAAGCTACCGATCCATAAACAATCATGTTTCACATACTTCATAGAGTAGCTTAAAACACATCGTGATATGAAATAATTTGTATTACATAGTAATTTAATCCCTGGCCACAGGGTTAACGTTGGACAAAGTCTGGAAACCTTTTTCCAATTTGAATTACGTACATTAACTTTGCCACACACCACAGCACTAATGCATGTATTACTTCAGACATGCTCTAATTTAAAATCGAAACAAAAAAAGTTGCTGCAAAAATACATGTCACCAATGTGGAACACATTCAAGATTGTATAAAAAGTACTGAACTGATATCCCAAAACAGGTATATTTAAGCAGTACATAAGGAAAGATTAGTTTTAATATGAAACAGTCATTTAAGTCACATACAACATGATAAGAAGCATGAGTCCTTTTTTAAAAACATTACACCAAATACTTTTACCGCCAGGCAATGTTTATTTATAAAATGAAAGGGATCTATTGAATGCAGATGCGTTATCGTATGAAGTTGGAATAAAGACAAAGGTTAAAAAGGTGCTACATTTGTACACCATTGATTTTGTAAAAATCTCAAACCATAAAAAGCATTTTGCTTGCAAGTATCATCGGCCTGAACTGCAAACACTTTGAAACGTTCTTGGCTGTGTGCATGCAGTTCCACTGACTCGTGAATTCTCACATGCTTGAAGTCAAGCCTGAAAAGGGTGATTACAAAACTGCTTCTTAGACCAAAAACCTCAGAGGTCACAAAGTCTGTTCTTCTTTGAGCAGCCCCCAAAATTATATTCTTGTTTCAAATAGAGCAATCATTATTACTCTCCTCTAGTCTTTCATCTGAAGATCTCAAATAATAACTAGGCCTCTGAACACCCTGGGGAAGTAAGCATTAGTTCTATCTTCTAAAAGAAACTGAGGCACAAACAGTTAACCTGCCTGTCTCAAGTTTTAGAAGGGGTGAGCAAAAAAAGCCAGAAACAGGACTTTTGTTATCTACCCTCTAGCCTATATATGCAACAGTGTCACTTACCCTACCACCAATAGAACAAGTGTTTTAAAGAGCAAATGACACAATTTCTCATTTAAAACTGGTCTCTAGCAAACCCCCCCTAAGTATTAAGAAGAGTTCAACCCAGTACCTATTTATTTCAGCAGGGGCGGGGGGGAATGGAAAAAAATATATATTTTGGGCAATATAGGCTGCATTTCTGACCATGACAAGGAGCTGTTTAAAAAGGACACAGGCGTTTCCCCACAAAAATGTTAAGGTTTGTAAGATTTACAAAATCTTTGCGATATTTTTGGTGTGCAGCACCAGTACAGTCTAAATCACTAGTAATGAAAGAAGCACATGATAGTTCAATACAAATTGTTTCATGTAGAGTATTACAAAAATCCTCGCCTATTCTAACCAGCCCTCCCTCCCCCCCACCCTCCTATAACTAATTTCTAATTCTAAGCAGCTGACATTTTCCTAATACCTTACTAACAAAACATGATTGTTGTTTTTCCTGTGCATACTTGAACTACTACTAGTCAACACATGCAGAGAAAAACAAACCCTCTCCAGACAGAGTCCAGGTATGCCAAGAGCATATCAGTAGGGCAAGCATATTGACTGGATGACTTTTGGAGATCCTAATCAGTTGTATCTCTACAATCAGTGTGATAACAAGGTTGGGTTTGTGGTTAATTTATTTTTATTTTATACAATTGGCATTTGCTAATGTCTTGTATTTGTCGGTTAACAAACGCAGAAAATTTCCTGGGTTACAAACCCAACATAGTACCAGTTTACAAAAACCAAAATAGATTGTTAGAATAAGTTTCACAAATACACAATTTAAGGCCTTACAAAATGATACTCCAGTTGATTTTTAAGTCTGTAAGAACACTATATTTAAACTCTAACGTCTTGCTAGCTAATACAGAAAACACCTCATGTAGGGTTGAGGAAGAGATGGCTATTTTAAATATAATGTCTGCTCTAAAATGTTAAAACATTAATTGGACTTCTGAGAACAGATGCCCCAAACATCTTCCCACAAGAGGAATGAGGTGTGGGAGTGAGAAAGGAACCGTGAACAGCACGCTTGGGTAACACCATAATTGGAGCTTTCGATGAATTTTCACCAAGCAAAGTTTTTTAATTTACATTGCTGTAGGTCTGAACCAGCTCCACTGCCTTCACAGCGCAAATTTTTGCAGAGGTTAAACTGATACACAGAGGAGCAAATCCATCTAAACAAGGTTTGGTTTAATTTCTACTATAGACATCAAAAGCAAGTTCTAACAGTTGGTCAGCCATTCAGAAAACTACGGAAGAGTAAATCTAACAGAGGTTGTGGCTTGGTGGTATTTTTGTTCTTTGTTTTTAAATATTACTCTTCTAACAAAACAAGATTAAGTTTAGTCTCTGTACTAAATAAAGCAAATAGTGATGCAAACAGAAGCCCTGGATCTACCTTACACTTTCTTTACACCTCCATACAGGAAATCCTCAAGATACGAACTGTGTCTTTTACACTTTAGACATAATTTCCTTTTTCCTGATGAGAGGCAAGACAAAAAAGGAGGGCAATACTACACTTCTCCAGTAAAAGTATACAACTTTTCACTTTTAAAATAAAACAGGGACAGTTATGTACATCTGCACAGTGTCTTCCAGGAAAGTACCACAGTAGAGCCCATTTAAATTCAAACACAGTGGTGAACTAGCAAACAGGCCTTACTGTGACTCACTGGCACAGCTTACCATAAAAACTACCTCTTTATAGAGCTGACTGTATGCTATAGAGGCTCCTACATCACTCAGCACTACAGACCTGAACCGTTTATCACGTTAAGGAATGTGACTAGTACCTGTAATGCCTGACATGATTTAATTGCTGACTGTACAAAAACTCTAAGTTTCCAGCAGAGTGGTATCACAAGCAGAGGCTGTTATTACAGTGTCATCTTTTATTAAGTTAAAACAACACTCCTCTCTAAGGAAACATTCACGTTCAGTTGCATACGCAACTTTATCACACTGCTAAGGCTGAAGTCTTCAAGGCTAGATCTTTCCCCACATTAAAAAAAAAAAAAAGGAGGGGGGGCATTTTTGAGATCAAGAATAAGATCAAATTACCCATATTGAACCTGAATTCTTAGCATCACACACGAAGCTCTAATGCCATTCATACTTGTCAGCACAACATCAAGTTTTGCAAAGCAGCTAAACTCCTGTTTACCTGCTCCTGATGTGAGCTAAAGTCACCTGATGTGAAAGCCGTATTTTCCTTCACCCCCTCTGCAAGACCAGCTGAGGCAGCGGTGGGAATTCACTTTTAAGACTTTGCCGGCCAAACTATCTTGCAGTTCAGAGCCCGTGCTGAGCACTCTCGATTGCCTTGCACTCTCCTTCATGCCAAGTGGACTGTGTAAGCTCAGGATGACCGAGCAGGCTCTAGCTGGAAGCCCTAGAAGATGGGCAGGACCTTCCCTGCACTAGTTAATTCACAATTCTCAGGCAGCACTGAGGCAGGAGCCTAGAACCATCAGTGAGAAAGGATGAGAGAGGTGCACGACTGCACAACCGTGACAGATGCAGACTGTACCCTAATGTACGTGCTTAAGATAAATGGATTAAGGTTACACGTGCAACCTTAGTTTTGGTATTCTCTAGATTTAAAGCACTGGACTTCATAACCTTGATGTGTTCTTTTTCCAATGTAATCATATTTTGTAACTATTTCCAAATACTGCAAGACCTAGAAAGAGTCTTCAGCAAGTATTTGCTGAGAAGTCAAAATAAGATCATTGCCTTTTCAGGGAAATACAAATGTTTAGGAGTTAGTGGGTTTCATTCTGTTACTAAGCATGAAGTCATCGACTTCTGAATAGTGTGTTAATATTTTAATTCGAAATAAGGAAAAAAGCACACAGGAAATTCTCCTAATTTTCCCTAAAATGAAAACTATTAGTACTGCACATTCCTCCATGTCATCCCCACTATATTCAAAGAAAGGATAGCAAGAACATCAGTAATGGACATTCACCCCCCCAAAATAAAATGTAACGAGTGCTTGCAAATATAGTACCATTAAAACCAAGCACTGTATGCTAGTGTTAGTTAAACACATGAACACTAGCAAATTACATACAGGCACAATTTTTCAGTCAATAAAATTGTCAATGCACATCCTACTTCTGACCAGTTGTCAGTTTAATCAGAAACAAAAAAAAGTAAAAAAAATTTGCACACATAAAACTAAGAGTACAAAAGAAGTTTATGAGATGGAAGTTTATGAATCAAAAAGAGAAAAAAACGATGACAGCAAGTCAAACACAACCGATTGTCTGCAGAAAGTGAAGTACCCAATTTGTAACCAAATCTTCACAGCAAGTGTTTGAAGCCCTACGACCAATCCACGGTGTCAGCCATCCGTGTTCAAGGCAGGTGGTCCCGCAGCCTCTCTGGTACGCATGAGCTGGACATCTTTGTCAGCCATGCAGGTATCGCAGCCCCACACTGCCGACGCTTCCGCTGTGAGGAGGCCGTAAGCTGACTCAGTCATGCCTGTACAGATCCGATGAAACCATTTTTGACAAGAGGCTTCGCACAGGATGGCATCCTGGTCATCGTTAACTTCGTGCGTGCAAATTCCACACGGATAGACGGGTTCAGAGGACGAGTGGCCGTGACGACTGGGATGAAGGGGTGTTTTGCTGCTCTTTTCAGAGTTGCATCCTTCAGCAGTACCTCGAGGCTGGCGGGACTTACTCTGAGTCCCATTTGAATGGCCAGCATTAGTGTTATCAGCACTATTAGAATGGCTATTATCCTGATTTACCACATTGTTTCGAGTAACATTTTTTAGGTCACTGTTACCTTGACTCACAATGTCCTCTGTCCTGTGATGATGCTGATGAGCAGCAGTGTTCTGACTAGACGGTTTGCTTGCACCTTGACTAAAGTCTTGCTTTTGTGCTGATGATTTTGTCTGGGTGTAAGTGTTTGGTGGAGGAACAAAAGAATGGTTTGACTCTAGCTGAGAATTTGGGAAATTTGGATTGTTGCCAGGACCAAAGTTAGACGGCACATCGGGGTGAGGTATCTGACCAGAATGGCCAAAGTTCTCACCGGGATTTGGTCTGAAATGCTGACCAGGCATATTGACATTCTGATTTATCTGACCACTGCTGTAAGGTGGCTGATTCCCAAAACCTGGGTTATCATGTGGACCGAAGGTGAAAGAGTGGGGTCGACTAAAACCCATTCCCACAGGGTTCTGAGGAAGGGGATGTGGTTGGTTTCTGAGGGAGTAAGAACCACCATATGGCGAGGACACTCTGGGCAGCATGTGAGGTGGCATTCTGAAAGTGTTATAGCCTCCAAAGCCAGGATAACCAGGATTACTAAAATATGGATTTCCTGAAGGAAGTGGTTTGTAAGACACAGTGTTATAGTTGTCATCAAATGGATTTGCAGCTACAAGGTGGTCAGAGCTTGGATTCGGCGGTGGAGCATATTCAGATGGAGGAGGAAATGACGATCCCTAAAAATATTTTAAATACAACATTTAAATTAGTTTTAGTATTTCCCTGTAAGACAGACCAACCACAAAGGTCCTGGATTAGCAGCACTATTGCTAAAAGAACAGTTCAGCTGTTGTGTAAAGCTCACCCACTGTACCCTGCCAGGCTGTCTGAAATTTCAGTACAGAGGCAAGAGAGGAGTTTGAGTTCCAGATAACATGGTGATTTATAGTAATCACAGTGTTTTAAATATTGTGTAGTTGCACAACCATGCTTCTGAAAAACACTGCTTGATATGTGACTTCTATTTCTTAATCTTTTACATAAGAAAAGCAACAATACAGAAAGTCACGTGTCACTTAAACACATGCACTAAATACTTCCAAATGTTGAAGAACAGATTTGAAGCATTTCCTTAGTTTTGTTTTGGGTTCATTTTACTGAATATACATCTCTTAAGACAGCCCACTTCTATGAAAATATACAAACCTAATGTTACTATAACCCTAAAAAAGAATATAGGAATCTGCATATGGGAAATTTCTATATTCTGCGTACCAGAGGTGTCTCTTATGGGCACTCAGTGCTTGCAGCAGTCTGCAAAGCACAGTCAGTAGGTATAAAATACAAGGATTTCTGGTTGCAGAGCATAATCAAGTGTTTAATGGAGCCCAGAGGCTGTTTAAATGTCATCAGAGCAGCTATACAATTGAATTTCATTTTAGACTAGCCTGTGGGGAACATCTAGCTGGTTCACCCTCAAGCTAACTGTGCTCACAGAAAGCATTTCCTCCTAAATACTAATAAAGTAAGACTGAACTTTTTTTTTTTCTCCCCCAAAAAATTTCTGCTGTGCTGCAAGTTGTGAACCTGGTAAGAAAAGAAGAGGAAACTAATCTGCATGCCCTCTACAATTATCACTATTTTAGAACATAAGGAAAGCTCCACCAGGAAAGAGGTCTGAAACCCTTAAATTAACCAATTCTTTCTCAGAGCAGGTTTCACCATGACTGCTTTAACACAAAACCAACAAAAATTAAGGAAAAGAGATCCACATCTCAATGGAACCTGGATAGGTCTAACAGAAAGTGATTGTTTGACCTACATAAATAAAATTACTCTCACTGGGCAGCACCAAATTAACAGATACTCTCGCTCAAAGCTGAACAAACACACAAAGGAAAATTCTGCGCTACAGATATCTAATTGCTTTACATGTTTTGTATTCAGGCTTCCTTTTCTGGAAACAGAAGCTGTACTGAAATGCCAAATTGCAGGGATTCACTGGAAAGGAGCCGAACCTGCCTCATAGCTTTTGCTTGAAAAATCACTTGGGGAATATGCCAAGAGTTTGGTCAAAGCGTTAACAAACTGTACAGATCCATTAGCCTACAAACCTACACGTACAGGAATAAAAGTAAGAAGAAAAGTAGTCTCATGGCAACTACTCATGCTGTACAGATTCTACCAATGGCTACAAAGTCATTAAAAGAAAGTCTGTCTCAGAATCAAATCCAGATGGTAAAATACAAGTTGTTGCAGTCTCACTGTGCTCCTCTCTTTATAGGTCTTTGGCAACCTACAGAGATTAAAATAACTTCAGTGAGAATAACTAGTAGTATGAAGATTTAAACTTCACAGTACAACCGAAATATTTTGTATGTAACCGCTATTTGTGAGAATAGACTGAAATTCTGAACAACGTGAGACAGTCGTACCAGCAAACAACATCCGAGGACACTATTTATTAGGAAATCAAAAGAACCAAAGGGAATTTACCTGTGTGTTTGCTTTGCGCTTTTTCTTATCAGGGCTTCCAAGTTGTACTCCTGGTCCTCCTAACCCATCCAATCCACTGTCACCACCTACAAAATTTCAATCAGTGCAACACTGCATTAGTTTTCTTACAGGCTGTATTTTAGGTTTGCCTCTGCAACTTAATATCTATGTAACAAATACTGAACTTGCATTAATTCTGGTGCCTTACATTGCAAGTCCTTGAGCAAACATCTGGAGGTGAAAGCCAGCATATCCCGTACACAGCCATCTTACTCTATTACCACTTTAATGTCCAATTCATGCTCGTTACAGTTGGGATAAACATTTCCATTTATTTTATGTTTATCTGTCCCTTGGTTCTTAACATCTCCACTTCAGCAGTTAGAAGTATTTCTCGTTTGCATAATGCATAAAACTTGCACAAGAACTGCTTAAAACCACGCCTAAGATTCACCTCCCATTTAACTCAGAGACACAGCAATTATCAAACTCCCTGTACCAACATACAACATTACAATACACATGAAGGAAAAAGCAAACAGTAAAAGATGCACGAGCGAAAACCACTGAAAGCCTGCCATGCTGCTCAGAACAGATCTCCACTTTATCAGATCCAAGTTTCACTAAATGCAAGACTTGATCAAACAAAGATCCATCTGCCAACAGTGAGAAGGGCTCTAAGTGAACCTGCCCTGCTCTGCAGAAAACTCACAAAATAATTGAGCATGGCCACCCTGGCACAAAAAGAAGTAAAGGATGTTACTTTTATTGATCACTCAGTCAGACTTGACTCTGAGCAATAGCAAGAGGTATCTGTACTTCACCTGGAATTCTCCACCTTTCATAACACTGGGATGAGCTCTCAAACTTGGATCAACTGTGGCTTTCGTTTTTAAAACTCTAGTTAGAGCACAGACAAAAAAAAATACTAAAAATTCTAGCACACTCATTATTCCAGTCACTCTGCCTTCATGGGGCTCAAGTGGATTTGACATCGTATGGGAATACAAAGAAAACCCTGAGCTGAAGCATGAAAATCACTTTTGGGCGATATGAGAGCAACACCTGTTAGGATACCAACATCGTTACGTTAAGAAACTGTACGTTAATTCATTTTTTCCCAGGCCCATTAAGTTAATAGCTCATTTTCTCTTTAAAAATAAATAAATATATATGTTACAGCAAAGAACAGTAAGAAGTGGGCAATCCAACCTAAAAATTTCACTGTTATTTGTTTAAAACTCATATTCAGGACACAAGTCAAACTTTACCAAGAGGCAGGCGTACAGCTGAACCCAGAGCTTTGTCTTTATTACCGAAGGCAGCCTGAAGCGTGAAGGATCAGCAGTACTACGCAAAGCAGCATAACGTAGGACATCACACCGCTCCACCTTAGACAGTATTCCCTGCAGACAGCTAAACCAGCTTTAGGACTGTTCAGTAAAGTAACACAACATTTCCTCTCACGGGGAAGCAGACCTACTGTATAGAGACTGAAATATCCAACAGTTATTTCAAATACTCCTGACCAAAGGAGGCCTGACAAATTTTCACTCCTAGCACTTCCTTCCTCTGCCCTCCCTTTTCTGAGGTTTCAGGGAATTTATCAGTCCCACCTCAAGTAAGAATCCAGTTCTGCCTCTGATTTAGTAAGTTCCTTTTGGCTTCAGCTGTCGCTGTTGAAATTTAATTTCATTTTTCACTACACTGAAGGAAGATACACGGACATCTGGAATCAACATCTATCAAATTTTAAGTCTGAATTTCAAAGACTAGGGCCTGAAGTCACGAGCACGTTCTCAAACTAAGCTCGTGCGTATCACAGTATAACCCACCACCAGAGTATGTGGGGATTACCCTTGAAGAGGAGAGTCCTTTTTGCCTTGATTTTGAATATAAAATCCTTCATAAGGCTTAGCGTGCTATGAAGCACAGCCACTGCGTTAATGTAGACACTAAATAATCACAGCATAATGTTTTACCAAAAAAATGATGACAAAGCTCCCTTAAATTCCAACCCTATAAATCATCTTCTTGATAAACTATTTACTCAAAACTGCCCCCATGCTTTTGACTAGCTTCCTCTCCAGCACTCCTATATGTTTATCATAAATTCAGTGGGAGTTTGTACTGTGAACACCATTCTCCACAACCACATAAAATACACTCCTGGTCACAGTCCTGTACTCTTAATACATAAATGGCACTAACCACTGGTAGTAAAACATTACAAGTATCTACATTTCTTTTAATAAATTCAACAACTAGCAGCATTTAGTAAATCTCTGACTGAGCAGAATAGTGAGGATCACATGCGAATGCTGTTTTACAGCAGCATAAGTTAAAACTTTATAAAATTATGTATAAATTCCCTCTCCGGTTCATCACTCTTCAAAAACATCAGCATATGAATATTAGAATTCCGGTAGCAAGTGCCACCAATTTTGACATGAATGAATTACATGGCTGAAGCCGTTCACACGCCCATGTTTGCAGAAGCGAGTCCTCCATCTGGAGAGGTACAAAGCTTTTGTATTTTCAGTTCTCACTGTGTGAGGCCAATGATTTAGTTTAGCCCTACGAATTTATATTTTCCCTATGGATTTTATAATGATTTAATTTATACATGAAAGGAAACAGAATGTTAGTCCTAGCATACCTCCAAAAAAGCGTGAATAAGGATCATTTTCATGCAGCCAAAATAAACTTCCCGGAAAGTCACTTTTGGTACCTACCACACAGACTTTCATTAAAAGGTGTACTGAGCATTTGGGAACACTGCATCGAGGATGCAAAAAATTATTTTAATGTCCGAGACTAATTTTCCAGGAAAAAATACAATCCTTCTGATGGGACATCATAAATATGTGATGGATCTAGAGACACAAATAACATATCTGATAACTATTCCTCTATTTAAAAAAGGTTAAATTTTTTTTCGGCCATTTACATTTGGGAGAAGGAGAAGCAGTCAGTCCCATATTCTTTTTTACTTCGTACATACGCAAGAGAGACATTTGCAGCGTTGGTCAGAACTGCAACTTGGAGTTTTGCTTACCTATTAAGAGGTTATGACTTTTGCATGTAATTTATATCATACTTAACACACTGCAAATACACTGTGGAGTATTTCCATACTCACTGACAAACGTCTGTCTAGGTTTTTACAGGATGGATGCCAGAGTCTTTTTAAACAGTGAGACTCAGTTATCTCCGAATGTTTTCCCAAGAAACATAAATGGCCGAATAAACTTTGCATTCTAGACAGAAACCTAGAAAGAGTCTAATTTCAACCGGATTTGGTAAGCCTATTCTGTGGCCCCGATACTGTAAACAGTTTTGATATGAAGTGGTAATTGCGTGGAACTCGGTGGGTAACTCAGATATGTGAAACTGCATGTGCTTAAACATTTGCAGAATCAGGGCTCGAGTGAAGGGGTCTAATGAATCCCAGTCTCTTTTGTAACACTGCTGCATATTTTCATTCTCTCATTCTCAAGGCTGCAACCCAGCTGTTACCAGAGCAGTTTTAGAGAAGCAAACTGTAAATCAATGGCAACATGCATAGCAGAATCCACACCTTTCCTCACTTACCCAACCACAGAAAAGCTTAAAACATCAAGAACAATAGAATTCCGGGGCAAAACAGGAGGCGAGGAAACGAGAAGTGATGGATTGCAGATCTTACCATTTTGCCATGATTTTCACCCAACTCGGTCACCCTAGCGGCTTTCACGGTTTCATTCAGAAACGCATTTCTGTTTTTGAGGGCTGTGAGGACACAGGTACCGCTGCGCAGACCGACGTGCTACTGCCATTGAAGTCGGTCGCCCAGCCGAAGTCAGAGGACGCCCCGTGCTCGTACCCTGCTCCTTACCCGCTCCAAAGCGGTGCATGCTTCGGCTCTCGCTAGAGCCCTACAACCGCGCGGCTGACACCGAATCAGCGTTCCGAGAATGTTTTCCTTCCCCGAAAAGCGAAAAACAACCCCCCAGCCGGAATCAAGCGCAAGCCCCGGGGTGGAAGAGCGAACACTCGGGTGTAATTTATGGGCTCTGCATCAACACTAACTCGGACATGTGGCACTGCCGACGTATTCCCTTGCACCAGCGGGATGCACGCTGCATACTAATGGGCACCACGGCCCGAAAACACGAGAGACAGACCCACGCACCCGCGGGTCACACCTCCGCGCGGGGCGAGCCCCGAGTTCTGCATTTTCAAGGCCCGCAGGCTGCGGGGGAGCCCGCGGGGCCCG